TGAACAACCATACCAAAGCTTAATTTTCTAACATGCCACAGTTCAATTCCAAGTTGTATATCACCATGAGGATTAAATCTTAAACAAGGAAATTAATTAAATGAAAGGTTTCAAAACCTCACCGAATATTCTAAATCAAATATATGTGAAGCTATATGGTATGTAGATCAAGAATATCAAGTCAGAATTCAAATAGAGTGAATAGTGCACTCGGGGCAAATTAATTAATCACATAACTAAAAAATTACTAATTTTTAAAACAGCTCCAATTACTTTCAAATTCAACTATGTTGAAGAGCATGCTAAGGCCAAATATAATATGCTATCACACATTAATTTCAAGCTAGTTAAGGTCACATGAATTAATATTTTATTCAAGATAAATATTAAATAAAATCTTCATTTCTTTTCCAAATGCTCCAATTTTAATATATGTTAATTAACATATCAAGGTGTAATATAATGTCAAGCCACAAGTTTAAAACATGCTATAACTCACCGGGAAAATTAAATTTCCTACTAGAAAATAAATAATCAAAAATTCTAGATTTAACATTCAAGCATTCAATTGAGTTGAATAAGCATCACAAGCATGTAATAGAGCAAGAAAGTAAATTATAACACCCCCTACCTTAATTTGAGATGAAAACATCAAAGGCCCACCGAAAAAAAAGTGTTTCGAATCCGCCGAAACCGAAGGGTTTTGTCGGGGACAACTCGATCTACATGAATCCCCAAGAAGCCCCATGAAAATCACAACTTGACTCTTAAATCAAACTCAAGAAATGGTCAAAAATGAATTCTAATAAGGGTGAATGATAGAACACGTCGAGGGGAACAAAAACCGTGAAGGCCGAAGACTTTTCACTTAGGAAAAGTAGATCAAAGGAGGAGAGAGAAGGTGGAAGCTCCATGGGAATCCATGGCTGCTTCAGGTCATGCAAGGAGAGTGGGGAAGATGAAAAATAAAATATTTCACCCCCCTTTTATAGAAATCCTAAAAACTGCCCCGAACGGGCTCCGCCGGGTCCGGAAAAGTGGAATTTGAGCAAACGCGCTCAAACAACAAAACTCTATGAACAAAAAAGATTCAAAATGAGAAAATATGAACAACAGAAGAAACAAAATCAAAATTTGAGTCCTGAGCAGAAAGTTATGCCCCGAACAAGTTCGGTGGCAACCAGGTCCAAAAACTCTGAAACTGGAGAAAAACGACCAGAGCGGAATTCTAAGGGTCCATGACTTGATGATATGTGAAAATGAATCTCGTATGAGGATCCAGGCTCCAGACAAGGCATTTTGCAATAATTTTGTTAATTGCACAATTGCCCCTACAAAAAGGGTTAACTGCGAAACTGCTTCAAAATGAAAATATCTTCTAAAAGATATTTTCTTAGATACCCCTGAAATAAAATATCTTCAAAAGATATTTATGAAAAAACACCCCAAGAAATGAAAAAGATTCTGAAGAATTGTGCATCCATGCCCCTATGGGCACCGGGAGCAACCAGAGTACTTTCTTGCAAAAGTAAAGATACGTATTTCGAGAAAACCACTCAAGATAAAGGCACGTGAAGTAAAAAACTAACTCCGAGCATGAGAAGTGAGGTTGTGCCAACAATGTGACAAATGGGGAAAAGACAGAATAGGGAAAAGGACGAAACAGGGAAAAGGACAAAAAGCGCATAGTGTCCGAAAAGTGAAAATGCTAAAATGACTCGGTCCTCAAAAGAAGTTGTCAATTCACATGAAAGAGTCTCAGAAACTAATTCCAAGCACTCGAGATGACACTAAGCGACACAAAACAGAGCTCAGAAAAGAAAATTAAACGAAAAAAAAATTCATTCATAAAATTTCAGGAAAAAGGAAAAGGAGGCAAATGACTGGGTCATTACAGGAATTGTTTCAAGTTAATGTAAAAATCTCTAAAGAAATCGAGTTGATAAATGCTTATTCTCTATGAGTAAACTTGTTTACGAAGTTACTAAGGGATTTGTTCAGGTACAAAGACTTGGTTCGTGATGCTTACCGTTCATTGGGATGACTTATACCTTTTAAAGTTTCCATTTCATGCAAGTGTTAGCATGAAATGCCATTGTCGTAGCCTTATGTATCAAACTTGTATTCTTTGATTCCATTTTTGTAATGTGTACATAAGTACACTCTTTACAATGTATTTGACATGTATGAGATGAGGCCAGAGGCCAATGACATGTATATTGTATTCTATGTGCCTTTTAACTTCATGAAATATTATGAAAATATTAAAAAATATTGAGTTATTGCTTCACCATGATTGTATCGGGTGTGGAAATTCCATTTTTATTCTTTCATAGGGTCTCATTTACCATATATGAAGTGTGGCCAAGGGTCAAACGGTCATTTGACCCCATTTTATATTTTCGGATTTCATGTTTTCCATTTCGAGTCTATTTTCACCTTTTTGGCCTTTGGGGGGTCAGATTTTGCATCGGTGGTATTTTTAAGTCATGGACTATTGTAGCACGTCCTAATAGGTAAGTTACGTTTGTGTGCATGGTTGTTTCTGGGCAAAACCTCATCCTTTATGATTTGAGCTTCCTATGGACTCATTTTACACTTTTGTTGCATAATCTGATCTAGGGGCATTCTTGACTTTTCATAGTGGTTTTATTTTCTTCTTTTGAGATGATCTCTTAGAAAACATGATTTTAGGGGCTTCGTGTTTTTCCAGAAAATGTCATCTTGGTGCTGGAAATCCATCGTAAAGTTCAGCTTGCTGTTTTTCATTTAGCAGCTTTTTGGACCTTCATGACCTGATTTCATGGAGGGGTATTTTGGCATTTTACAGTGAGTTTTTTTTTATTCCTTTTACATATTCATGTAGAAAACTCAATTTTGAGGGGGGTTTCTTCTTTGTGTTTTTCCAAAAAATGTCATCTTGGCCCTCAAAAATTCATTTTTTGCGGAAAAACCCCTGCTGCAAGGTTTTTGGTTGAACTTACTGTTATTTTTCTTCATAACCGGTTAGAAGGGGTATCCTAGCTGGTTAGATGACTTGGGGCAGTGTTTTGGTCGTGATTTTTAGCCTCCTAATTGGTTAGGAAGGCTTGGTAACCTGTTAGATGGTCTTGGGTTGACTATTTTGACCGTTTTACCCCTCTTGCTTCCGTTAGCCATATCTTCTACATCCGGACTCCGAATCAAGTGATTCTTGAGTCTAAGTTTATTTATTTTTCATTGTCTTTCCAATGGTGTACTCGGTAGCACCCACCTTCATGTTGGAAATGACCTTTTTTCCCCTAGGTTCATTCTTGTCTCTTTCTGAAATGTTGCTTCCGCATTTGTTTTCTTTGGGTTCCGTGACCTCATTGAGGGTCACATGGGTGTCTTAGGGACGTATTGTGTCTCTTGAGACCATTGTTTCATCTTTTCCTTCCGCATTCTGGATCCAGTTCAGGTCATCGTAGGACATACTGGGTTAAAAAATCCAAGGTCGTTTCATAGATCATCATGAAATAGCTAAGTATAATCAAATAGCACTTAAATCCAAGACTTCTTCAGAAAAACAAGATTAACTACTGACCACACTGTCTGAATTCATTTTCAGCATAATCTCAACATAAACACAGTCTGACCAAGTGTGAGAAGATGAATTACACCTGTGTCAACCTTCAGAATCAACCACAGAAGCTTGAAACACCAAGTCACTCTTCAATACAGCCCTTGCATCAGCAAATTTGACAGCAGCCTCATCTCAACAAATAGAGAACACCTCAAAGTTGATTCAATGAGTTTTTCTTTGATAAATCATCATCAAATAGGAAAGAAAAACTTACTTGACATAGTATACTCGAGGGTTCTCAGAAGCAGCTCAATGTGCAATGAAAACCTTAAGGAGTCCTATAGCAGTATGTTTATAGTGACTCTAAATTATACAAGGCCTCACACACCACGGATATACACCTATCACCTTTCACCAATGACTGGGAGAGCACAATTCAGATATTTTCAGTGCAATGGACTAATGCAGGCCTGCCACTTCAGCTAATTTTGTCACTGTTCTTCCAGCTACAGCAAGTTACAGGTTCAAGTGCTTAATTCCATTTCTGTCCAAACTTAGCCTCCAAGAAATGCATATACCATCTCTCTAAGACCATTGAGACGTGTCACATTTTTCTCTAGGACCATTGAGACATGTCCCATTCTTGAGCATAGCTGGAAAAGACCATACCGCCCTCAAAACAGAGTTAACTTTACTCAGCACTGTGACAGAGCTGAGGCTGTATTCCACACAATGCAGGTCCAGTTTCAGTGCAACATAGGTACCTGAGCAAACATATATATATCTGAAATATCATTGAGAAAAGATTATAGTACTCCTGTGAGCACCTGTAGCTGAAATTGAAATGTTAACCTTCACTGTCCGAGGCTGAGGCTAAAGCAATAATTTTTAACATTAACAGGCAAACATTCCTTAAAGCAACTTAGGACCAACAATCCCCCCCTTTTGTCTTTAATGACAAAAACCAAATAACCTTGAAATAACCAAAATACAGAAGGAATAGCTTGAAACTATCCTCATTTCAGTCCATTTCTCCCCTTTTTAGACATTGAAGGTCAAAAGGTGAATAGGACTAATAATATAAGTTCAGAAGGGAGGAGGAACAACCCTGAGAAGAGCTCGAAGGGTTGAGAATCCCTGAGGAAGAAGAGTTTAGTCATGATGTCTGCAACTTGATCTTCAGTAGGCAAATAAGTAATATCAATCAGACCTTTCTGAACTTTATCTCTGAGGAAGTGATACCTGATGTCAATGTGTTTACTCTTTTAATGCTGTGTGGGATTTTTACTAATAGCAATAGCACTTTGATTATCATAGAAAAGCTTGGGAGGTCCTGAGAATTAAATGCCACGATCAGAGAGAGTAGTCTTCATCCAAAGTAATTATGACCCAGCTTGTGAGGCAGCTATATACTCAGCTTCAGAGGTTAAAAGAGAGACAGTATCCTACTTTTTGCTTAGCCAAGAAACCACATTTGAACCAAGAGTGTAGCAACAACCAGAGGTACTTTTTTTATCAGATAAAGATCCACCCCAATCAGCATCTGAGAGGCTGCAATGGACATTGAGGGTGAGTAAATGTAGAATAGACCATAAGAGATGGTGCCCTTGACATATCTAAGGATTCTTTTGGCAGCTTGAAGATGAGAAGACTTTGGATTACTTTGAAATCTGGCCACTAAACCCACTAAATACATTATATCAAGCCTTGAAGTAGTAAGATATAGTAAACTACCAATGATTAACCTGTAAAGTGTTGAAGGAACAGCTTCAGTGGTGCACTCCAATGAGAGGTTGGTAGTAGGACAAAGTGGTGTTGAGACAGCCTTACAATCATCCATTTTGAACTTTTTAAGTAGCTCCAAGGCATACTTTCGCTGAGAGATGAAGATTCTAGAGGATGGTTGTACAATTTGAAGGCCAGGAAAGTATCTGAGAGTCCCCAAGAGTGACATTTCAAACCTTGTCTTCATGAGATTAGCAAATTCTGAAGCTAAGGAGGTGTCCGAGCCACAAAACATGATATCATCAACATAGATTTGCAGAATTAGAAATTATTCTTGATGAGTTTTTACATAAAGAGTATTATTAACCTTGCCTCTGTGAAATCCTTGTTCAACTAAGAACTGATGCAGCTTCTCATACCCGGCTCTAGGGGCTTGTTTGAGACCATACAAGGCCTTACTTAGTTTGAACACATAAGAGGGATACTTTACATCTTTGAAACCTTCAGGCTATTCCAAGTAAAATTCTTCATTTAGGTCTCCATTTAGGAAGGCTAACTTAACATCCATTTAATATACTTTGACTTGTTTGTAACAAGCAAAAGACAGAAGCATTCTAATAGATTCCATTCTAGTAACTGGAGCAAAAGTTTCATCATAATCAATTCCAGCTTACTGAGCATAGCCTTTACACACCAATCTTGCCTTATTTCTTATTACTGATCCCTTCTCATTCATCTTGTTTCTGTAAATCCACTTTGAACCTATCACATTCTTATCTTCAGGTCTTGGAACGAGTGTCCAAGTATCATTCTTGTGAATTTGATCAAGTTCCTCTTGCATAGTAGCTATCCAGTCTTTACTTTTCTAAGCTTTAGAATAGGACTTTGGTTCAATGGATGACAATATAGCAAAGTGATTGTATTCTTTACCATCTTCAGCTTCTAAATCATTTAGCTTCTTCTTGTTTCTTGTTTGAACTCCAGCTTGAGATGAACCAATGATGTTCTCAGCTTGAACCTACTTCTGCAGCACTAGACAAATGATTTCCCTCGAATCTTCAGATTTAGTAACTGAGGAACTAGTTTCATTTGAACCAAAAGTAGTGTCATAGTCTTCAAGAGGTATGGACTTAGGATTCTCATCAAACTTAACATGAGTTGACTCAACCACCTTTGCAGACCTTAGATTGTAACACCTGTAAGCTATGCTTTTCTTAGAGTACCCCAAGAATATGGCTTTATCTGCCTTTGAATCAAACTTACCCAAACTATCAGTGTGGTTCAGTATATAACACTTGCTGCCAAACACCTTAAAGTAGTGAACAGTTACAGGTCTTCCATACCATAATTCATAAGGTGTTTTGGTTGAATTAGGTTTGAGAAGAACCCTATTTATGATGTGCACAGCCGTACTCATGGCTTTAGCCCAAAAACCCTTTGCTAGACCTTTTTCAAGAAGCATTGTTCTACCCATTCTTGAACTGTCCTGTTCTTCCTTTCTACAACCCCATTCTACTGAGGAGTAGCAACAGCTGAGAACTCTTTCTTGATACCTTTATTATCAAAGTAGTGCTCAAACTCCTCTATGATGAATTCGAAGCTGAAGTCAGACTTAAGTCTCTTCACAGTGCTACTTCTTTCATTTTCAACAAGATTAACAAACTTACTAAAGCATGTAATGGCCTTAGATTTTTCTTTCAAGAAGTAAACCCACACCATCCTACTAAAATCATCAATAAGAAGCATGAAATACTTACTTCTGGTAGGGCTATAGAGATCCATATATATCAAGTCCAGAGTTGTTGAAGAGTTGATTTCCTTGGAAGGAAATGACATTTTGGTTTGCTTTGCTTGTTGACATGCTTTACAAAGATGATCATCTTTAAAACTGATGTCAGGCAGTCCTTTAACAACTTTCAGCTTCAGAATCTTGGACGTATTTCTTGAATGAAGATGACCTAACCTCTTATGCCACAACTTTGCTTCATCACAGGTTGTTAAATTACATTGAGTGACCTGACTTTCTTCAGTGACTGTGTACACATTTCCTGAAGATCTATTAGCTGAGAACAAAACTTGTTTTGATTCAAGATTAATCACATTGCATCTTTCTTTATTGAAACAGACCTCCTTCCTACAGTCACACAATTGACTAACACTAAGGAGATTATGCTTGAGTCCTTCAACCAATAGAACTTCATGGATTTCTAGCAACTCTTCAGACTTACTCACAGTACCAATTCCAATAATCTTAGCTCTTTGATTATCTCCAAAGATAACATTTCCACCATCAAACTACTTCAACGAATTAAACTTGGAACCATCACCTGTCATGTGTCTTGAGTAGCAACTATCAACATACTATTTGTCCTGAGTATTACAAGCTTTAAAGGTTGTATACACAAGAAGACTCACAGATTTTAGCTTCTTAGGAATCCACATCATTTTAGTCTTCACCAATGATCCTTTGTCCTTGACCTTCTAAGCTGAAGCTAAGTCTGACTTCTTGACATACATTCTAGTTATCTTGAAGTTCCTTATAGCTATAGTAACAAAGTCTCTCTTGCTAAAGCTTAGAGCACTGTAGGTGTTATTAAGTAACTCATCCTTGAACCTCCAAGGCTTTATGATAGGAAACCTTGTATACACTTCACCAATTGTGGCTCTGATAAATATAGAGTGAGTTTGATTGACCTTTGTGGCTGAATCACACACATAGCCAATTCCAGTCCTCCTAACTTACTTTGTGGATTACTTCTAAATCTCAGCCATTTTTAGGGATCTTTTTTCTAGAATGAGAGATAGTTCTTCTTTACACTTCTTGGTAGACCACTGAGTGTTGACTTGAGATTTCAATAGGCTTTGAAAAATAAGAGAAACTGAACACAGCATTGACTTGAGACCTTTGTTTGGACTTGAACAATTCTGAGTTAACCCTTTTTATCTAAGCCTTCTGTTGATCACACTTCACTGTAAGCCTTTTACACTATTCAAGAATTTCCTCAATCTCAATGTCACTAACTTCTTCAACTTGAACAGAAGTTTGTGGTGCTTCAAGAATTGCCATAAAGAGACATTCATCTTCTTGTGTCTCCTCAAGTTTTTCTTCTTCAGGAGCTGCATCCTAGTCTGAGATACGTGTTTTTCTACCAAATTTTCCTTTGTAGTTTCCTCCCTCATTCTTCTTCTAACTCTACCCCTTTGAGTTCAGACACTTAGATGCAACATGACTAGGTTTACCACAACTATAGCAAGTTAAATTTTACAGCTGATTCTTCTTTTTAAACCTAAACTTTCTGAATTTCTTAGCAAGATAGGCAACCTCATCTTATTCAAGATCATCTTCAGACTTTGCTTTAGTTTCTTCAACAACTTCCTTTGCTTTAAGAGCAACTTCTCTTCTATAAACAGCTGGAACACCAATTCTCATTTCATGGGCAGTGAGAGAGGCCTAAAGCTCGTCAATCTTCACTTCAGAAAGATCTTTATCTTTAAGAATTGTTACTTTAGGATTAAATCTAGAGGTGAGTGACCTTAGTATCTTCTTACAAAAATCAACATCCTTAATGTCTTCACCAAGTGTTGTCATATTGTTGACAAGGTCATTGATCCTCAAGATGTACTCAGCTACAATTTCTCTATCTTCCATCTTGCACACCTCATACAGAACTTTGAATAGCTGTATCTTGTTCTCCTTAATAACCTTATTTCCTTCATGAGCTGCCTGAAGAGAATCCCACATTTCCTTGGCTGTTTTATAATTTTTAACTCTGGTAAACTTTTGTTGCCTCAAAGCACAGAAGAGAACCTATTTGGCCTTGTCATCATTAGCCACAGCCATTATATCTTCAGTAGAGGGGTTATGAGGATTAAGAATCATAACACCATGTACGGTAACATGCCAAACATCATAGGACTGAGACATTAAGAAGGCTTCCATTCTAGTTTTCCAAGAATCATAGTTTGAACCTTCAAACCCTGGAGCTTTGTTGATAACTTGACCTTCATCTATTGCTGAGATCAACTGCAGGCTTGTTAGAACCTCACAATGCAGACCAACACTCTAACACCAATTGTTGAACCAAGAGGGGGGTGAATTGGTTCAATCTTTGCTTTTAAAAAAAACTTTCTCACACAACTAAGCAAGCATTCAAATAACAGATAACATAAGATTTAAAAGGAAACCCTCTTAAATAGGGAAAACCTTGGTTCTTAGCCTCGGCCAATAAACAATCCACTAGTTATATGTATTTTATTACACACTCAGCTATCTCACTCTCTGCACACACCCATGCACCAGAATAGACACTAGTTTTCACAACCAATACACACACACTAGGACACTTTAGTGCATCCATACACTCCCCCTGTCCAAAGCAACCACCCTTGGACCCAATAAGCTCTCAAAGTTCACTCAACGATGGGGTGAGGGATCATGCCTCACTGCCATTTACAACAAGTTTCAACACACCAAATACAATTCAAATAAGCTGGACAACACAGAATTCCAAATTACTGCCTCAGTACTGCAATCTGCTGCATCAAGTGTCCGAGGGGTAAAATAGGAAATTCCTTTTGAGATCAATTCACCAGCACCTTATACAGTTTTATTTCACTATTGTACTCATGTACATAGCTTTGTATGATCAAACACAGCATGAGAATATCACATGTTTAGTCAAAGTCCTTGGTTCAGCATATAACAGCTTTGGCACAGATAGCCTCGGCACAGATAGTCTCGGCACAAAATAGCCTCAGCACAAAATATTAATAACACAAAATAGTCTCAACACAGAATATTTTCAACACTGAATACTAAAAAACAAAGGATACCATATTTTTGCTACTAACTCAACTTTGACAATCTTGATTCATCAAAATACACTAGCTAACAGCATAGATCATCATGAAATAGCTAAGTATAATCAAATAGCACTTGAATCCAAGATTTATTCAGAAAAATAAGCTTAACTACTGACCACACTGTTCGAATTCATTTTTAGCATAATCTCAACACAAATACAGTCTGATCAAGTGTGAGAAGATGAATTATACCTGTGTCAACCTTCAGAATCAACCACAGAAGCTTGAAACACCAAGTCACTCTTCAATATAGCCCTTGCATTAGCAAATTTGATAGCACCCTCATCTCAGCAAATAGAGCACGCCTCAGAGTTGATTCAATGAGTTTTTTTTGCATAGATCATCATCAAATAGGAGGGAAAAACTTACATGACATAGTATACTTGAGGGTTCTCAGGAGCAGCTAAATGTGCAATGAAAACCTTAAGGAGC